CTGTTGAGAACAATTTGTTGTGAGTGCAACGAGCCCATAACTCTCCGCAATCAAAAATCTAAATAATATTCAAGCCATCTATCTCTTAAACCCTCTAACTCATATTGAAACTTCAAACACTTTCAATCAAATATCTCATGCTGAGGCTCCTACGAACAAAGATATATCTATACTTCGTTGTTTAAGAAAAATCTTAATTGATATCTCTATATATTCTTACACTCTATTCAATAATAATTATGAGACAAATTATAGCATGTTCATGTTCTTGCACTTATTTAAGAGATATCAACAGCTTTTAGACCATTTCAGGGATCACAAAAGAACAAACTTTCATACTGATAGAAGTGATCATAAGTTCGTACCCAAACACCCAGAGAAACTTTCAGACATCATCTGCTAAGTTGAAACCACTTCTTCCCGGCTTCACCATGTGTTAGTGTACCAGCAAGAACATGTTCAATAAGATTTTACGTTTGCTTTACTCGTCGATAAATCAAGAAACCCAAAATTCTTTATTGTTTTAGTGTTCATACCTCTACGTAATCACCTCCAAAGTTAATGTCTTTGTATTAATTCGTTAGACTACTTTATTGTTTATTTTCATCTTGAGCATGAATTCTCTAAATCACTTTCATCCTTCTTTTTATTATTCTCGATGGTTGGTCTAATTTTGAGCTTAAATTTTCATCTTTATCTACAGGATTCCGTCTGGTTTTTTATATTCTTATCTTTCTGATGGGTACTCTACATCATCGTTTGATTCCCCTTGATGTTTGTACTACAAATCAAATTAACACATGAATATATGTTAAGTCGTTATTAGAGTTAAACGTTTAAACCCCAACATACAAAAGTCAAAAACTGGATTCCAAGAGCTTTTATGACAAACTACCAAACAAATCACAAAAACCAGGAAATAAAATACTCAGCTTATGTCAAGTTAATTATGTTTAGAATTCTTCTTATGCTATATGAACCCAAGGGTACCATAGAACACACTTTTGAGTCACATGAAAAGTTTATTTTCAGATCAATCCTCTCTAATAAACAGAAACTCAGGCTTATCATAACTTATTCAAACCAAATATAACAAAAATCACAACTAAAAATATATGATTATTAGAAATAGCGGAATAAAAAGGAAAACAATGAGAGTAACAAAAAAACTTCCCACTCAAACCCAGTGAATACTATAGTATAAACCAGATCCTTCATACCCTAAGAAACAAACGTGACATGTACATATATAGCATCTACGTGATGTTCCTTATTTGTAATGTAGGGGTTCACATCGTCTTGACAATTCACTTAGT